TGGTTCGTCTACCCCTCCGATTTCCCCCCCTTCATTCTTCCCCTCCTGCTACCTTCTTCTTCTTCTTCTTCTTTTTTTTCTTAACATATATTGCATTATTTGTTTCAGAGGTACAGATCTGAGATTCAACAGTCTTGCACAATTCACAGCACTTACCAGAGCACATACCCTCCCCAGTGTCTATCACCCAGTCACCCCATCCCTCCCACCCCACCCCCCACTCCAGCAACCCTCAGTTTGTTTCCTGCGATTAAGAATTCCTCATATCAGTGAGGTCATATGATACATGTCTTTCTCTGATTGACTTATTTTGCTCAACATAATACCCTCCAGTTCCATCCACGTCATTGCAAATGGCAAGATCTCATTCCTATTGATGGCTGCATACTATTCCATTGTATATATATACCACATCTTCTTTATCCATTCATCTGTTGATGGACATCTTGGCTCTTTCCACAGTTTGGCTATTGTGGACATTGCTGCTATAAACATCGGGGTGCACGTACCCTTTCGGATCCCTACTTTTGTATCTTTGGGGTAAATACCCAGTAGTGCAATTGCTGGATCATATGGTAGCTCTATTTTTAACTTTTTGAGGAACCTCCATACAGTTTTCCAGAGTGGCTGCACCAGCTTGCATTCCCACCAACGGTGTAGGAGGGTTCCCCTTTCTCCGCATCCCCGCCAACATCTGTCGTTTCCTGACTTGTTAATTTTAGCCATTCTGACTGGTGTGAAGTGGTATCTCATCGAGGTTTTGATTTGGATTTCCCTGATGCCGAGCAATATTGAGTACTTTTTCATGTGTCTGTTGGCCATTTGGATGTCTTCTTTGGGAAGATGTCTGTTCATGTCTTCTGCCCATTTCTTGATGGGATTCTTTGTTCTTTGGGTGTTGAGTTTGATGAGTTCTTTATAGATTTTGGATACCAGTCCTTTATCTGATATGTCATTTGCAAGTATCTTCTCCCATTCTGTCAGTTGTCTTTTGGTTTTGTTGACTGTTTCCTTTGCTTTGCAAAAGCTTTTTATCTTGATGAAGTCCCAATAGTTCATTTTTGCCCTTGCTTCCCTTGCCTTTGGCAATGTTTCTAGGAAGAAGTTGCTGCGGCTGAGGTTGGAGGAGTTGCTGCCTGTGTTCTCCTTTAGGATTTTGATGGACTCCTGTCTCACATTGAGGTCTTTCAACCATTTGGAGTCTATTTTTGTGTGTGGTGTAAGGAAATGGTCCAGTTTCATTCTTCTGCATGTGCCTGTCCAATTTTCCCAACACCATTTGTTGAAGAGACTGTCTTTTTTCCATTGGACATTCTTTCCTGCTTTGTCGAAGATTAGTTGACCATAGAGTTGAGGGTCCATTTCTGGGCTCTCTATTCTGTTCCATTGATCTATGTGTCTGTTTTTGTGCCAGTACCATACTGTCTTGATGATGACAGCTTTGTAATAGAGCTTGAATTCCGGAATTGTGATGTCGCCAGCTTTGCTTTTCTTTTTCAACATTCCTCTGGCTATGCGGGGTCTTTTCTGGTTCCATACAAATTTTAGGATTATTTGTTCCATTTCTTTGAAAAAAGTGGATGGTATTTTGATGGGGATTGCATTGAATGTGTAGATTGCTCTAGGTAGCATTGACATCTTCACAATATTTGTTCTTCCAATCCATGAGCATGGAACGTTTTTCCATTTCTTTGTGTCTTCCTCAATTTCTTTCATGAGTATTTTAGAGTTTTCTGAGTACAGATCCTTTGCCTCTTTGGTTAGATTTATGCCTAGGTATCTTATGGTTTTGGGTGCAATTGTAAATGGGATCGACTCCTTAATTTCTCTTTCTTCTGTCTTCTTGTTGGTGTATAGGAATGCCACTGACTTCTGTGCATTGATTTTATATCCTGCCACTTTACTGAATTCCTGTATGAGTTCTAGCAGTTTTGGGGTGGAGTCTTTGGGGTTTTCCACATAAAGTATCATATCATCTGCAAAGAGTGAGAGTTTGACTTCTTCTTTGCCAATTTGGATGCCTTTTATTTCTTTTTGTTGTCTGATTGCTGTGGCTAGGACTTCCAATACTATGTTGAATAGCAGTGGTGATAGTGGACATCCCTGCTGCGTTCCTGACCTTAGGGGGAAAGCTCTCAGTTTTTCCCCATTGAGAATGATATTCGCTGTAGGTTTTTCATAGATGGCTTTTATGATATTGAGGTATGTACCCTCTATGCCTATACTCTGAAGAGTTTTGATCAAGAAAGGATGCTGTACTTTGTCAAATGTTTTTTCTGCATCTATTGAGAGGATCATATGATTCTTGTTCTTTCTTTTGTTAATGTATTGTATCACATTGATTGATTTGCGGATGTTGAACCAACCTTGCAGCCCAGGGATAAATCCCACTTGGTCATGGTGAATAATCCTTTTAATGTACTGTTGGATCCTATTGGCTAGTATTTTGGTGAGAATTTTTGCATCCATGTTTATCAGGGATAATTGGTCTGTAATTCTCCTTTTTGATGGGGTCTTTGTCTGGTTTGGGGATCAAGGTAATGCTGGCCTCATAAAATGAGTTTGGAAGTTTTCCTTCCATTTCTATTTTTTGGAACAGTTTCAGAAGAATAGGTATTAATTCTTGAAATGTTTGGTAGAATTCCCCTGGGAAGCCATCTGGCCCTGGGCTTTTGTTTTTTGGGAGATTTTTGATGACTGCTTCAATTTCCTTAGTAGTTATAGGTCTGTTCAGGTTTTCTATTTCTTCCTGGTTCAGTTTTGGTAGTTGATACATCTCTAGGAATGCATCCATTTCTTCCAGGTTATCTAATTTGCTGGCATAGAGTTGCTCATAATATGTTCTTATAATTGTTTGTATTTCTTTGGTGTTGGTTGTGATCTCTCCTCTTTCATTCATGATTTTGTTGATTTGGGTCATTTCTCTTTTCTTTTTGATAAGTCTGGCCACGGGTTTATCAATCTTGTTAATTCTTTCAAAGAACCAGCTCCTAGTTTCGTTGATCTGTTCTACTGTTCTTTTAGTTTCTATTTCATTGATTTCTGCTCTGATCTTTATTATTTCTCTTCTCCTGCTGGGTTTAGGTTTTATTTGCTGTTCTTTCTCCAGCTCCTTTAGGTGTAGGGTTAGGTTGTGTACTTGAGACCTTTCTTGTTTCTTGAGAAAGGCTTGTATTGCTATATACTTTCCTCTTAGGACTGCCTTTGCTGCATCCCAAAGATTTTGAATAGTTGTGTTTTCATTTTCATTGGTTTCCATGAATTTTTTTAATTCTTCTTTAATTTCCTGGTTGACCCATTCATTCTTCAGTAGGATGCTCTTTAGCCTCCATGTATTTGAGTTCTTTCTGACTTTCCTCTTGTGATTGAGTTCTAGTTTCAAAGCATTGTGGTCTGAAAATAGGCAGGGAATGATCCCAATCCTTTGGTACCAGTTGAGACCTGATTTATGACCTAGGATGTGATCTATTCTGGAGAATGTTCCATGGGCACTAGAGAAGAATGTGAATTCCGTTGCTTTGGGATGCAGTGTTCTGAATATGTCTGTGAAGTCCATTTGGTCCAGTGTGTCATTTAAAGTCTACATTTCCTTGTTGATCTTTTGCTTAGACGATCTGTCCATTTCAGTGAGGGGGGTGTTAAAGTCCCCCACTATTATTGTATTGTTGTCGATGTGTTTCTTTGCTTTTGTTATTAATTGCCTTATATAATTGGCTTCTCCCATGTTAGGGGCATAGATATTTACAATTGTTAGATCTTCTTGTTGGATAGACCCTTTAAGTAGGACATAGTGTCCTTCCTCATCTCTTATTACAGTCTTTGGTTTAAAATCTAATTTGTCTGATATAAGGATTGCCACCCCAGCTTTCTTTTGGTGTCCATTAGCATGGTAAATGGTTTTCCACCCCTTCACTTTCAATCTGGGGGTGTCTTTGGGTCTAAAATGAGTCTCTTGCAGACAGCATATCGATGGGTCTTGTTTTTTAATCCAATCTGATAGCCTGTGTCTTTTGATTGGGGCATTTAGCCCATTTACATTCAGGGTAACTATTGAAAGATAGGAATTTAGTGCCATTGTATTGCCTGTAAGGTGACTGTTACTGTATTTTGTCTGTGTTCCTTTCTGGTCTATGTTGCTTTTAGGGCCTCTCTTTGCTTAGAGGACCCCTTTCAAGATTTCTTATAGGGCTGGTTTCGTTTTTGCAAATTCCTTTAGTTTTTGTTTGTCCTGGAAGCTTTTTATCTCTCCTTCAATTTTCAATGACAGCCTAGCTGGATAGAGTATTCTTGGCTGCATATTTTTCTCATTTAGTGCTCTGAATATATCCTGCCAGTCCTTTCTGGCCTGCCAGGTCTCTGTAGATAGGTCTGTTGCCAATCTAATGTTTCTACCCTTGTAGGTTACATATCTCTTCTCCCGAGCTGCTTTCAGGACTTTCTCTTTGTCTATGAAACTCGTGAGTTTTACTATTAGATGTCGGGGTGTTGACCTATTTTTATTGATTTTGAGGGGGTTTCTCTGTGCCTCCTGGATTTTGATGCCTGTTTCCTTCCCCAAATTAGGGAAGTTCTCTGCTATAATTTGCTCCATTATACCTTCTGCCCCTTTCTCTCTTTCTTCTTCTTCTGGGATCCCATTTATTCTAATGTTGTTTCGTCTTATGGTATCGCTTATCTCTCGAATTCTGCCCTCATGATCCAGTAGTTGTTTATCTCTCTTTTTCTCAGCTTCTTTATTTTCCATCATTTGGTCTTCTATATCACTGATTCTCTCTTCTGCCTCATTTATCCTAGCAGTTAGCGCCCCCATATTTGATTGCACCTCGTTAATAGCCTTTTTGATTTCAACTTGGTTAGATTTTAGTTCTTTTACTTCTCCAGAAAGGGTTTCTCTAATAACTTCCATGCTTTTTTCAAGCCCAGCTAGTATCTTTAAAGTGATGATTCTGAACTCTAGATCTGACATCGTACTAATGTCTGTATTGAGTAGGTCCCTGGCAGTCGGTACTACCTCTTGTTCTTTTTGTTGAGGTGATTTTTTCTGTCTTGTCATTTTGTGCAGAGGAGAATAGATTAATGAGAGAACAAAATGCTAGCAGGGTAACAACGTCCCCAGAAAATATACTCTAAACAAATCAGAAAAGACCTGAAGCAGTGGGAAAAGAAAGGGAAAGAGAGAAAAAAGAAAAAGAAAAAAAAAGATAAAGATAAAAACAAGCAAAAACAGAACAAAACAAAACAACAACAACAAAAAACCAGAATGTGATCAAATATGATCAGGCTGGTATATAGATCAGTGCCACACACTAGATTTTGGGTGTATTTTGGTCTGTTAGAAGAAAGTGCCTCCCAAAATTTTAAAGAAAGAAAAACTTATATATATACAAAAATAAGGGTTGATATGATGAAGGGATGGAATATGACTGTAAAGATGGAAATTATAAAAAATTTTATGAAAGGAATTGATAAGAAGTTGTTTGAAAAAAGAAAGAAGAGGATTTAAAAAAAGAAAAAAGAAAAAAAAAGGGAGAGAATATGATCAGGCAGGGGAGTAGAAAAAAAACCATATACTAGAGATTTAGGGTATATTTTGATCTGTTAGAAGAAACTATCTCAAATTTTTAAAGAGAGAACAACTTATATATATATATATATGCCAAAAATACGGGTAAGTACTATGAAGGGATAGAATATGACTCTAAAAATGAAAAATACAAATGTTTTTTAAAAAAGGGATTGATAAGATGTTGGTTGAAAAAGGGAAAAAGAAAAATTAAAAAAAAAGAAAAAAGACAGTTAAAAAAAATTAACTTTGAAAGACTAAAGAATCATGGTAAAAAAGCCATGAATTCTATGTGTAGTATTCCCCTAGCGCTGGAGTTCTGCCGTTCTCATTGATCGGTAAACTCGGTCTTGGCTGGCTGTTCTCGCTGATCTTATGGGGAGGGGCCTGTTGCCGTGGTTTCCAAATGTCTTTGCCGGAGGCGGAATTGCCCTGCCTTTGCCCGGTCCAGGCTAAGTAATCTGCTCAGGTTTGGTCTCTGGAGCTTTTGTTCCCTGCGAGCTTTCCGTACAGCTTTGGAGGCGGAGAGTGAAAATGGCGGCCTCCCAATCTCCGCCCCGGAGTAGCCGAGAACTCGGGCCCCACTCCTCGGTGAGCCCCCAGAGAAAAGCCGTCAGTCACTCCCGTCTCCCCGGTCTCCAGCCGCACTCCATGCTCACCTGGCCTGTGACCTCGCATTTCTATCTCCGGCACTCGACCCCGTGTGGAGTCTCCAAACCCAGCAGATCCCTGCAGTGCACTCCCGCGCCACTCCTCCCAGGGGAAGAAGGTGAGTCTCCCCGGATCTGCCGCTTGTTGGGTCCCTGCTGGAGGAGCAGGGGCCCAACTGTGCCGCGGATCACGGTTTATGGCCACCCCGAGCTGAGAGCCCGCGCCTGGGCTCCGCCTCTGCCGCCGGCTTCCCTGCTCCGTTACCTGGGAGCTCTGCCGCACTCAGGCACCCCCGGTCTTTCTGTGACCCCGAGGGTCCTGAGACCACACTGTCCCGGAGGGTTCCACCCCCTGCTTAGCCACCGGAGTGACTTCCCTCAGTGGAGCAGACTTTTAAAAGTTCCGATTTTGTGCTCCACGGCTCTATCACTTGCCAGAAGCGGCTGACGGAGGCCCCTCCCCCGCCGTCTATCCTCCCGAATATCGCCTCGGATTCCCTTCTCCCCACGTCCTACCTTCCAGAAGGTGGTCACTTTTCTGTTCAGAGAGTTGCTGCTCTTCTTTTCTTCGATCTCCGTTGAGTTTGTAGGTGTTCAGAATGGTTTGATCCCTATCCAGCTGAATTCCTGAGAGGAGACGAAATCCAGGTCTCCTACTCCTCCGCCATCTTGCTCCGCCCCCCATATCCTAACTTTTTAAATGGGCAAAAGACATGAACAGGCAGAGATGAAACAATAAAAATAAGATGTTCAACTTCATCTTTTAGGTTTAGTTATAAACTAAAACAAAAATTAGATATGACTTTTTCACTACTTCAGATGGCAAAAGGGGAAAATATTTTCAATATGTTGTGATGCTGAAGAATAGAAATACAGGTTCTCCTGTGCACTGTTGGTGGAAGCAAACATCTGTGTTCTTTGAATCTTGTTTGCCAATATGTTGTCAAACACTTTAACTGTGTGTTCTTTTTGACTCAGTATTTCTACTTCTAGAGGTTTACTCTAGGAAGATATTCTAATAGGGAAGTAATATAATAACCACAGAAATGTTCACTGAAGACTTCTTTATAATAGTAAAAAGTGGAACCAACAAATGGATTGATTAAGGTTTGCTAAAATAAACAGCCATTTAAAAAGAAAACTTGTCTGTCACATACCACTGAATGAAAACAAGCAGAATGTATAAGAGCATATATAATATTACTTCACTTACATAGAAGTATATGAACATGTGCATATACATATACATATCCACACACATATCACAACTATGAGAAAGGTTATTCATTAAATTTTTTTTAATGAGCAGGTGTCAAGCCTTTGAATCATTTACTTTATTGTTTATAATGTTATCTATAACTTTATATAGCCATAACTCTGTGTGCTTCCCTTTTCCCTAGCACCTTGGTTCCTCAAGTTCTAATTGCCTTAATAGCTCAGAACTCCAAGTTTTGTTTTCCCAGACTTTGGGAACTCTGACCTCTCCAGGCCACCATTTTTGACTTGGCTTCTATGCACTGTGATACCGGTGAGTGCTCCAAGAGAAAAAAGAGAACATCTGGCCCACTTCTATGCATTCCCCTTCTCTCTAGGAACTTGGCCTTTAAGTCCTGGCTGCCTTGGTTGTTTCTGATGCCTTCAAACAACCAATCTTAATTTTTTAAATTTAGTTTTATAATTTCTTCCAACAGTAAGTTTGTTCTGATACAAGGTACTGAATCATAGCCAGAAGCACAAGTTCAGTTGTATCATATTTAAGTACACAGATACATTAATTTTTACTAAAATAGAAACTTCTTTGCAAATAAAGGAATCATTTTTCAATGTTAATAATTGTTAATGTTATCTATTTGGGGGTATTTAAAATTTTTCGCTAAATAAAAGTACACTATATTTTATACAAATTACTTAAAATGTATTACAAATAATCATTTGCTTTTTTAAATGTTCAAGATCACAAATGATTTTATAAGCCATCTTCAAATTAAATACTATTTTCCTAGGCTGAAAACAAAACTGAATTTAATCCAAAATCATCCTTATTTTACTTTCAGATTATACTGGTGCATATTTGGGTTAAACAATATTGCCAACAAGTTTCTTCATATACTGTGAGTTAGGTACCAGAATAAGTGAAAAGATCAATGATTTGCATATTAGGCAAAATAAACTTGAAAGGGAAATTTGAGCTGGAAATTTGGATTTAGCATCATCAATGTGGGTGGTCAGCATCTGAAGCAATAATAGCACATGCACTAGATATCACCAGACTTGGAAATTTTGCTGAATTGGGGCTGCTCCATAAATATTCACAAACAGGGTATTTCCAGGGCCCTCGTCACTTGAAGGAAGCTTCCTATGCATCCTTGGTCACCTCTCTTTCCCACTTCCATACTTTTGGTCCTCTATTTACATCTCCTACATTCACCAAATGTCTTCCTGTTTCACAAGGAAAACAAGCTATCAGGTGTAAGCCCCACAAATCCCTAAACACACCAAAACCCAGTCTTCAGTCTTCCCCTCCTTATTCAGAGATAGGCCTTCAGACCCTCATTAGACTGATAACTATCTGTACACTAAATGCTATCTTTCCCATCTTCTTATGATGCCTATTTCACCTGTTAGGCTGGCTGTCCCCTACCTATTCAACTTCTACCTTTAAGTCTCTTTTCTTTCACTGTATAAATATACTTCCCACCAATAGACTCTTTAAATCTCCCACTGGTCTAACATTTTCCAAACTTCAGGTCTACCCATTAATGGGTTGTGAAATCAATTAGTCTGTTTCACCAGAATGTGTTCTTTTTAGAAATGAAGTAGTATGGAATCTTCAATACTGGAATGTGACACTTATATTCTAAGACATGCTGTCCACATTGTAGCAAATACTGGGGTCAACTGAGTTGAGGGGATATAATGTGTACAAACAGCTGATGGAGGGGATATAATGACTATGTGCGTTGGCTGGGAGCCAGCCAGCCATTTGCTCTTCTGTTCACTGGTGTTTCATTTGATTTTCTGGATTTCATAATTGTATCAGGAGAGTTAATGTTTTATAGATTAATTTGTGTCAATGTAATTTGCAGTTAATTATGAAGTGAGGTTTAGAAGAATTTATCCACTGTTGGCAAGGGCAGCAAGAGTTCCTATTAACTTTTGGTTGTGAGTTAATAATTTTCAGTGTGAATTTTTGGAATAGGCATAATCATTAGGGATTTTTTGACTTTGCAAATAATTGTACATTTTAATCAAACCTGCATAAATTCTTCGTAAGATAGTTTATTTTATTATTAGAAGAAATAAGAATGATGATGTGAAAAAACACAGAAGCATGTTTTGGTTGAACTGCCAGATTTGGACTTATGAAGAGTGACAACATTAGGAAAAATATTTCTTCTCTTCAATACGTTTTTTTTATTTGAGCTTAGTCCAAAAAAAAAAAATAATAAGCCTTTTAAAAAAGGTTTAAGTATAGCTTTTCAAATGCTCAAAACCACTAAAAATGTATTATTTACAGTGATATTCTTTTTTAAGAGATCATTAGTTTATGTAAACTTTACCAGATAGTTGAAGGTATTAAAAATATTAATAACCAGCTATTAGCTGATTAAAATATATACTAATATATTAAGTAGTATTTTTAGAATTTATTTTTATTGAAGTATAATTGACAACACCATATTAGTTTCAGGTGCAACATCATGATTTGATGTTTGTACACATTGCAAAATGATCACCACAATAAGTCTAGTTACCATCCATCACCATACAAAGTTTGTGATGGGAACATTTAAGATATACTTTCTTAGCATCTTTAGCATCTTTCATATTTGTAATATAATATTATTGACTATAGTCACCATGTTGTACATTACATCTCATGACATTTATTTTGTAACTGGAAGTTTGTACTTCTTGATCCCCCTTCACCCATTTTGTCCACCTCTCAACTCCCCCCCCGCCGTCAATCACTAATCTGTTTTCTGTATCTATGAGTACTGTTTTATTTGTTCATTTGTTTTGTTTTTTAGATTCCACTTAGAAGGGAAATCATATGGCACTTGTCTTTTTCTGTCTGACTTATTTCACTTAGCGTAATACTCTCAATGTCCTTCCATGCTGTCACAAATGGCAAGATTTCATTCTGTTGTATGGCTGAGTAGTATTCCATTGTGTAAATGTAAATACCACATCTTCTTTATCCATTCATCAGCTGATGGACACTTAGGTTGCTTCCATATCTTGGCTATTGTAGATAATGCTGCAGTGAACATGGGGTGCCTATATCTTTTCCAATTAGTGTTTTCATTTTCTTCAGCTAAATACCCGGAAGTGGAATTGTTGGATCATATGGTAGTTCTATTTTTAATTTTTTGAGGAAACTCCATACTATTTTCCATAGTGGCTGCACCAATTTACATTTCCACCAATAATGCATTAAGATTTCCTTTTCCCCATATCTTCACCAACACTTATTTCTTGTTCTTTTGATAATAGCAATTCTAACAGGTATAAGTTGACATTTCATTATGGTTTTGATTTGCATTTCCTTGATGATTAATAATGTTACGCATGTTTTTATGTGTCTGTTGGCCATCTGTATGTGTTTAGAAAAATGTCTATTCAGATCTTCTGTCCATTTTTAATTGGATTGTTTAGGTTTTTGTTTGTTATTGAGTTGTAGGGATCCTTATATATTTTGAATATTAACCCATAATTGGATATATGATTTGCAAATATATATCTTCCTTCTCCCATTCAATAGTGGCTTTTTTATTTTATTGATGGTTTCTTTTGCTGTGCAGAAGCCTTTCAGTCTGATGTAGTCTCATTTGTTTATTTTTGCTCTTGCTGCCATTGCCATGGGAGTCAGGCCCCCCAAAATATTCCCAAGACCAGGGTCAAGGAGCTTACTGCCTATATTTTCTTCTAGGAGTTTTATAATTTCTGGTCTTACATCAAAGTCTTCAATTGGTTTTGAGTTTTTTTGTGTATGGTGTAAGCTAGTGGTCCAGTTTCATTCTTTGGCTTGTGCCTGTCCAGTTTTTCCAGCACCATCTATTGAAGAAACTGTCCTTTCCACATTGTACATTCTTGCCTCCTTTGCCAAAAATGAATTGACTATATATGCAAGGATTTATTCTGGGCTCTCTATTCTGTTCCATTGATCTATGTGTCTGTTTTCATGCCAATACTATCCTGTTTTAATTACTATAGCTTTGTGATATAGTTTGAAATCAGGAAGTGTGATGCCTCCAGCTTTGTTCTTCTTTCCCAAGATGCAATGATATTATTGCAAATGAAAATTTGAAATCTTACAAAAAGGAAAAAACAAACTTGGAAATACAGCAAGTCAAACTTGTTGATAAGGATCTCAAATATTTTCAAAAAAGGACAAATTTGTCAACACATTTCACATTTACATTGGTTAATGAGAAAGTGTTACTATCATATTTGGTTGTATATGTGTGGCCAAAGAGAAAATTACTCACATAGTTGCAGAGAAAATTTTTTTCTTGGCATGCATGGTCATGTGGTGAATATGATTCTTGATGATAAATCAGCTGAGAAATTTAAAACTGTACAGTTGAGTGATAATACAGTCCATATGTAGTTCCATAGAATATACAGAATAGAATTAATACTTATTAGCCAGGTATGAGCAGACATAGGTTGTATGATTCTACCTAATGAGAGCACTAATACTTCAAGTTATTATACATTCAGTTTATGTCAAATATATATGATAATTTTTATGAAGGATTTATTGTGTTGTTTAAATTTAAGCTAACATATAACTGGTTTGAGTAATTTGATAGAATTGGGAAAATACTGTTTGAAAAATATAAATTAAACTGGTAAATTGTAATAGAATTGCAAGTGATTCAGAAGTAAATATGACCAGGAAACATAGCATCATAATTTAAAATATTATTAGGAATTACCTTCTACGTTGCCACTTGAAATCACTGTTCACACATGTTCATACATTTGGCATCCTCACAGTTCTGCTGAATCTCTGGAAAACAATTATAGCAATGGTTGTTTAATTTCATTAAGAGAACTGTTACTTTTTGATACATTTTGTTCAAATTGGAGCTGTCACTGATATTGGTGGTCATCTACCAAATCCTTTTCCTCTGCCACAGGAAGAGATCTGTGGTGGGAGCCCCGAGGTCCCAGATAAACTATATTGTATCCAAGTGTGTCTCTGCAACTGTCCTCACCAATGGAATATAGGAAATTTGGGATCTCCTATATGGAAGAAAGGGAATGGAAGAAGATGGAAGAAATGGAATAAAGGGATTTGCATGACTTCTACATCTGAGGCCTGGGCTCATATACTCTCTCTTCCTCTCCCTATCAGCTAGAATGCAACCTGCCTAGGACCCATCTTGGGAGAACAACTCCTTCCAGGATAGTGGAGCAGTAAGATATGAGGTACATGGTCTTTGAATGATCTCCTGGAACTGCTATACTAACCCGCACCCCTGGCTCAGGACTTAAACGATAAATAAAAGTCTATGTCCTGTAAACCACTGTATCATTGGGTCATTGTTGAAGCTTAGCCTTTCCATTAGCTGATATTTGCATATGTTATGTCATACTGGAGTTACTGGTTGTTGTAAGAAAATATTAAGTAATATGAACTCAGAACTGGGATTCATGTTTTTCTGTTTAAAAGCAATCTCATTTGGCTAACATTTTTGGAGATGGCATTTTAGCAACAAAATTGGCACATATACTTATATTTTTAACATTTTTTAATACCTGGATTTGGAACCTTAGGAAAAAAGTAACACTATATTTCAAGATGCTGAATATATACAACAGTTACAAAATACATTTTAAGTAATCACCATGGTTACCCTATGTCCTCAACATTTTGCGACACAGAAAGAGAACATCATTAGTAAAGACACTCTGAATGGAATAAAATTAAAGATATTAGTGATATTGCAATTCTCTGTTTCAAACTTTAAACATTTCCAATAAAGAAATTTGAAATATCAAGAAAAAACATTTGGATAAAAAAATCCATTTGTTTTTCAAAATCCTGAATCCATATTTGCATTAAAGTTGATGCCCAAAGAAGAAAACTACTTACTAATGCTTTGTTATTCAAATACATTGAATGATTATAAGTTTATCACCATTTTGGATTAAGTTAAAGAAGAATCTGCTGAAATTTGTAATTTCAGTTGCTAATTAGCGTATATTGTTATTAATAGAATACACAGCAAAGTGTTTGTGTGAACCAGAATTTTTAACCAAAATAACTGAGAGTAGTGGGAAGGAATAGATACCAAGCACAAAGCACCTGGGTTGTGCATGTAGCATTATCCTCATGTCTCCAGCCTGGAACAAATTTTGAGAACAGGCAAGCATGCCTGCAACAATGAATCAAATCCTATTTAATAGTAACTCTATTCTATTTAACAGTAAGTATTGTTTTATAAATAAAAAATTTTGTTTCAGGGGCCCCTGCTGGCTCAGTCCGTAGAGCATGCAACTCTTGACATCAGGGTTCTGAGTACCAGCCCCATGTTGGACGTGTAGATTACTCATAAAAATCTTTTGTTTCAGTTTCTAAATCTACCTATATATGTATTTCTAGGTACTCTGGGTGGTGATGCAAAGGGCATTTTCTACTGAGTTGATGTTTAAAAAAAAAGTGTTTTGACTATTTTACTTTTTTTTTTTTAAATTTTATTTATTTGACAGAGACACAGCAAGAGAGGGAACACCAGCAGGGGGAGTGAGAGAGGGAGAAGCAGGCTCCCCACTGAGCAGGGAGCCTGATACGGGGCTCGATCCCAGGACCCTGAGATCATGACCTAAGCCGAAAGCAGACACTTAACGACTGAGCCACCCAGGTGCCCCATAGACTATTTTACTCTTAATTTCCTTCATAGCCAACAGTTTGAGTGGGTTATTTACACATGTAGTTCTACCGGCTCTTCATCTACTGCAACCAGGCTCTGCCTTCATTATTCTTCTTGGGCAGGCTACCTAGCTAAACTCTTGCATCCATTTGATCCATTTCTGTATTTATCTTTGTCCTCTCTGTAGCCACTGTCTGTACACTACTTTTGTTTCTTTTTTCTACCACTTAAACAAAATAACACTTTGCAATTATAAAAAGAAAAATGTTTATTTTCCTGTGTATGCATGTGTATTTTTAAAAAAACTTGTATGTACATCCACATCAAATATTTAAATAATAAAATTGGGATCATTTAGTGCATGGATGTACGTAGTAGCATTTTACAAACTTCTTCATTTAACTATGTAGTAGCAACCTCTTTTCATGTCATTCAATATTCCTCTCCTACATTATTCTTAAAGGCTATATAATATGCTGCTTTATGGATACATCATGGATTTTTTTGTCCATTTCTCTACTGTTGGACATGTGGATAGTTTTAAATTTTTTAAAAATGAACAGCACATTGAAATCCTTGTAGAAAAATCTTTATCCACTTTTTTTTTTTAATGTGAATATCCACTTCTATAATCACTTGCTTAGGATGAATTCCTAAAAGTAGGATTGCTAAATCGTAGCCATATCTATGCTGTCTACACATCCAGAATCCTCCAGGATTATCCTTCCACCAGTACCCATAACACGGGAGGATCCAGTAGGCCAGCTCTTAGCCAATTTGATTGATTTTTTAAAAATCATATTTTATTGGGGCACCTGGGTGGCTCAGTCGGTTAAGCGTCTGCCTTCGGCTGTCATAATCCCAGGGTCCTGAGATTGAGCCCCGCATCAGGCTCCCTGCTCAGCGGGGAGCCTGCTTCTCCCTCTCCCTCTACCTGCCACTCCCCCTGCTTGTGCTCTCTCTGTCAAATAAATAAAATCTTTTTAAAAACTACATTTTATTTAAATGCTTGTGCTCTTTTGGTAAGTAGGTGCTTGAACATTTCTCATAGGTTGTATAAGTTATTTGTATTTCTTTGTGGACTGACTTCATAATCATCGCCCATTTTTTTTAGACTGTGCAAATGCACCTGTTTTTTTAATACTCTGTAAAAGTTTTATTACAAAGCTATTTAAATTCTATATCTCTAAAATTACTATTTTTTTTAGTTTGTAGCATAAGTAAATTTGTTTTTAATCATAAAGTAATAATAAATACTCTTAAAAAGAATAAGGGGACCCCAACTTCCTTCCTGGTATCTTGCTCTGCCCATTCCATCCACTGCCTCCTACAATCTTTGCCAAACCCCAGGCATCAATAACTCAATACCTGAAGGCTTTCAGATCCTCATTTCTTTTTTTTTTTTTTTTAAAGATTTTATTTATTTATTTGAGAGAGAGCACATGAGAGGGGGGAGGGTCAGAGGGAGAAGCAGACTCCCAGCTCAGCAGGGAGCCCAATGCGGGACTCGATCCCGGGACTCCAGGATCATGACCTGAGCCGAAGGCAGTCACTTAACCAACTGAGCCACCCAGCGCCCCAGATCCTCATTTCTATCACACAGCACTGCCCTGGGTTCCTGCCCATAAGTGAAACACGCTGTGGTTATCTCATTATCATTTTCCACCTGAATATGTTCAGAACTGAACTCGTATACTCCCCAGATTCCAAACCCTCTCCTTCTCTACTTTAGCTTGGAAGATGGGGCCCACCATCCTCCCCTTTCCCAATGGAGAAACACGGAAGTCACCCCAGATGCTAACCACCCCAATCGGTCAGTAAATCCTACGGCTTCGACTCCTAAAATATCTCTTGCTGTATTTTCCTCTATTCCTTTCCACCTACTATTGGCTTAACTTATTTCTAGATGACTGCGGAATCTCCTTACTGTTCTCCCAGCTGCCAGTTACTCCTTTGCAATTTTTTTTTCACTACCGCTACAGTGACATTTCTAAAGAAAAACGAATACGCTTAAAATCCCTTCTTAGCTCCTAGACACGGTTTTCACAACAGGGAAACAATGAGATGCCAAACGAGATGCCTGCTTTCCTCTCCCTCCTTCCTTCAACAACCATCTCGGGGTCTCCATCAGCGAAGGCCATTAAGTTGCCGACGCACAGCGCACGCCCTCTCAGGACCTGAGGCCCCGGCTAACGCTGCCTTCCTTCCGCATCACCCACAGTCTGTTTCCCAAGTTCAGCCTAAGGGTGCGAGAGAGGAAGGAAAAAGGGGTTTGGATTCAGGAATGTGTTTTGAGGCTAACTCTGGTAGGTGTGGGAAGCAACTTAGCCTCTCCGGCCTGGTTTCCTCGTGTGTATAATGGGGCTATGAACCCTCTCCCCCGGACCCCCTCCACGAGATCGTGTTGGTACACGGTGGAGCAGAGTCCGTCTATTCACAGGTAGCTCCCGACCCCGTCACAGAAGAGTGGCCCAGAAGGGCTGTTAACTGAATAGTGAGCGGCGGACAACGGGATGCAAGGGCGCGCCGCCACAACGCGCCCGGGGCTCCGCGAACCCGGCGGGGCCGCCCCCTCCCCGCCCGGCGCGGCGCAGGGGGGTCGCAGGTCGGGGATCGGGGGCGGGGGGGGGGGCAGCGGCTAGGCCCCTCCCCGCTGGCTGCCCGCCGCCGACCAGAAGCTTCCTCGGGCCGCGCCCGGCCAACCTCCGGCCGGCGAGCCAGCTCCGGACATCCGCTTCCACCTCCCCGCGAAGCTTCGTGGCCCCGGGGCCTGCGTCGGCGGCGGGTCCCGGCCGCGGCCTCCGGCCTCCGGCCTCCGGGCTCCAAGCCGCCGCCGCCGCGCGCCGAGCGCACCTGACCCTAGCGGGCGGGGCGGCGGACGGGGCGGGGCGGCGGGGCTGACGTGGCCCGCGGCATGGAGCGGGCGTGATTCATCAGTCGCCGCGCGGGGCCGAAGGGGGGGAGCGCAGCGGCCGCCTAGGCGCCCGGGGCCCGGCAGTGGCGATAGCGACGGCGACAGCGGCGGCGGCGGCGTCCCCGGCCCGGCCTCGCGCGCGCCCGTCTCGCTGTCGGTGGCCGAGCCCCTGCGAAGGTCAAGATGGAAGAGATCCTGAGGAAGCTGCAGAAGGAAGCGTCCGGGAGCAAGTACAAAGCCATCAAGGAGAGCTGCACCTGGGCCCTGGGTAAGCGCGGGGCGCGGGGCGCCGAGCACCTGCCGGCCGGTCGGGCTCCCGCGCCGCTGCTCGCCGCCGCCGGAGGGCCGCGCGGGCTGGGGCTGAGCCGACCCTGATGCGGGGGGGCTCCCGCTGAGCTGCTGTTATGGATGCGTTTCGCGCGATTGCGAGAGTTGCCTCGGTGAATTGATGTGGGATATGAGAATTTTGGTTCGGGCGTTAACATCCATCCGCCTCCTCTCTGGTCTCGGTCTTCTCCCAAACCTCAGTGGGGAACCGCCGTCCTCCCCGCCAGGAGGCCCCCTTTTCCAGATTCCCAGCAAGGTGGACGATGGTCACCCATCTCTGAGTTAGGACCACCAGCCGGTGCGAACCCAGGGGTCCGATTCCAAGCGCCTGTGGGAAAAAAGGAAGTTGAACCATCAACCCCGAACTCGAAACATTGGCGAGTGTGACCAGGAAGGAATGGCTTCTTTAATTCGATTTTTCAGATAGAGGCCAGCTTGTTAAGTATTAGCTTCCATGGTTATTGTACCTGAAACATTACATACGGGTGGGATTGCGTTACCTCTACAATTCTGCTGTGGTGTGCCCTTCAGACAGGTGGGATTTTAAATTTGTGAGCTGTGCAAGTATTGAAATAAGTTCCAGGTGGCACATTTGTGTTTCCCATCAGACTCGGGTTTGCAGAACTCCACCTCAAAGAAGACTCTTTTGAAAGACGTTCATTCCAATTCGGCACGAATTTGGGCAATCAGAATTGTCTGGATGGGAATGCAGAGGGATCAGGAGCATACTTTGGGTGATAGTGATAGAAATTAGGCGGAGGAGAAACCAAGGCAGCCTTGGGGGCCCCTGGCAGGGCCCAAGCCTGCATGCGATTCCTCAGTTGCCATTCAATTACAAAATACAATTGAATCTATTTCTCTCTTAATCAGAAAGCAATCAGTGCTTGTTATGACACCCTGTGGTACAACCTGAAAAGAGTTAAGTGCCATTAGCAGGTTTTCCGCTAAATGTGGAATCCGGTGGTGGTTTAGGTGACGCTGTTAATATTTAGAAGATCGGAATTCACATATATTGGGTGTATGTGTACAGACAATCCTAGCAACATCATTTTCTTTGACATCTGCGTATGTCAAGGAAGTTTATCTTGTAGGCAGAACTTGACCATTGTTTACTGTTACAGGAATACTGGACCAGATATAAATGAGCAGCTAGGCTCTTAAAGCCACAGTACTATTTTTGCATTGCCATTGTCATTCAGCAGAGCGATTCAGAGCTAGATTCCCAAATGCCTCTAACGAAGGGTCACAGATGGCTGAGTAACATAATAAAGCGGGACCTGACTGCGCTTTAAACATGCCATTCCTGTGTTCATTATTATTTTGCTGTAAGTTAAGCAGATTGAGATAACAGGGAGGAGAAGAGTAATGGAGTATTTTTAATGTTTAAATTTTGCTACTCAACATCTTGTTAGGTTAAACAGCCGTGTTGCTGAGTTTAGATCCTTGAAGCTACCTGGGAAGTCCAGAGGTGAGGCAGGTACCTGAGCCGAGCCTGGAGTCGGACCTGATCGCACGAGTGGCTGTGATTCCTTTCCCAGTGACTGCTCTCTCGTTACCAAGGGGAGACAAAGTGCATGAAATAGTTAAGTAACAGCGCCTGACATTGAGTGTGCAGGTTGGAATGAGTAAATCAGGAAAACAGATCTAAGAAGAGGGCATAGAGTATGGGGTCAAGGGTGGGGTGGGGAGGAAATTGGTGTGAGCTGGTGGGGCTTTTAAAGTAGATTTGCCTTGAAGAATGGGTACGCTGTGGATTTATGAAGGCCTCCCCTGTTCTGAGCATGGGGCTATGAGGATGAGTACAATGCTTCCTCCCTATAAGGAGTATGTTAGGAGGGCATGCAGAGGGAGAAGGCAGCATGAACAAAGGCTATGTGGTTTCCTGCTCTCTTTTCCACTCCAGTCCATTTTCCACCATTCCATCAATTTTTTTTTTACTATAAAACACTCCTCCCCAACCCCCATAATTTCTTTCTAGATTAAAGTGTAAATTCCTTAGAACACTCTTCAGAATCTACCACCCCCCCGCCCTTGTTGCTTAGTGCACCCCAGGGGTTCCATAAGCTGCAGCTGTCCGGGAAGCACACCGGGCACGCACACACTGCTCTGCCTTTACTCACGCTGGGAATTCCCTTTCCAGACTCCTAAGGCCTAACTCACACAGGAAGTGTTCCCTAAGCTCTTCAGTCAAATCCGTTCCTCCTCTGCATTCAGAGCCCTGCCCTCATGACTGTCTTAGAGCACCTGAGACTTTGGATTATTTGGCCGTAGCTATTCTTCTAGGGGCAGGATAATTGAGAAATATTGTATTCAGGAGACCAAACCCTCCCGCCCCCAAAGCGACGGCAACAACAAAAAACCCTAATTCAAGCTGACTTCAGCAAAACAGAATTTACTCACTGTATTCACTAAATATCCCCTGTAAGGCTAGCTGTGGGTTGAATTTGGCTCAGGAATTATACACTGTTCAAGGACCTTGCTCTACTCTTTTTGGGGGAGATGAACACGCTCGGCATGAGTCTCCACAGCTTTGGGCTTGTGAATCATCACATTGAGACCATCTCATGAGAAAGAAGTATCAGCACACTTAGACCATCGGAGGGGAGAGGGATCATCTCTCACTAAAACCATCATGGGAAGGAAGAGTCATTTCCACACGTAGTCCATCTGAAGAGAAAGGGGTTATCTCCCACTTGGCCCATGATAGGGGAGAGGGGTTACCATGGCATCACAGGAGAGAGGAGTCATTTCCCACTGAAACCGTCACAGGAGATGGGGGTGGTCATTGCCACACGTAGGCCATCACCGGAGAAAGGGGTCATCTCCTACTTGGCCCATCATCAGATCATCTCAAGAGAGTGGAGCTCTTCCAGTCAACTTCTGCCCAGGCTTTGGTTTCACTTGTTCTCTCTTGGTCCTGATAGGTCATGTGTGTACCTGAACCAGTCTTCTAGCTAAGGAGTAAAATGGGCTAACTGGCTTAGATCTAGGCCACAAGGCTTACTGAAATCCCTGACTCAGAAAGGGATGGTTTCCTCAAAACAAATTTAGGATTCTCTTTCCGAAGGCTGATCAGCCAAAACAGCAAATGTTGACAGTGTAGACATGTGCTTCTTGAACGTAGGGACTGTCCCTTATGCTTCTTTGTGGTTTCTGCAACTACCATAAGGGAAGCAGATATGTATAAACAGATCAGCCCATTAATGACTTGCTTGGGTTTTAAGTGATACCATCTTTTTTCTATTTATAAAAGTTATATACGCTCATTTTAGAATATTGAAAAATATTTGGACAGTATAAAGAAAAAAATGAACATCACCTGTAATCTCAACACCCAGAAAGGACACTAATCACTTTTGGAGTATTTCTCTTCTGCAAAGGGTTATACTATCTATGGCAGACTGTCATTTGGTTTTTTGTTTGTTTGTTTGTTTGTTTTTAGCTTTAGCATCTTCTATGTTGTCATTGATACTTCTCTGAAAATCGGTTTTCTTTTCTTTTTTTTTTTTTTTAAAGATTTTATTTATTTATTTGACAGACCGAGACACAGCGAGAGAGGGAACACAAGCAGGGGGAGTGGGAGAGGGAGAAGCAGGCTTCCCGCCGAGCAGGGAGCCCGATGCGGGGCTCGATCCCAGGACCCTGGGATCATGACCTGAGCTGAAGGCAGACGCTTAACGACTGAGCCACCCAGGCGCCCCTGAAAATCGGTTTTCTTAATGGCTGCATGATAACTGGCAAGGGATATATTTGTATCTTCCTTCTATTTTGTGCCATCTAGGTTGTTAGATATTTTTCTTGTCAGTGAGGAAATGGTCTGACAAGGGGATAGAAAGAATAAGGGAAGGGGTCAGCTTGTGGAGAGTGGAGACCATAGCATTTTCCTTTGAGAACCTGTGATCTTGGAGGCATGTGAGCTCTTCGGCTGGATGACATAGAATGTCGGAACGTTAGAACAGTGAGGGACTATGTCTTCGTTTTAGAAACTTGTGGTGTTTTACATATATCAGGGGACTTGTGTAAAATGGAGGAGAGGAGAAAAACAACTAGAGGCTGGAACACCAGGTAGGGGAAGAAGAATAGTCTACCCCCCCACCCTCCTTCCCTCTACCTTCCCTCCTACTTTTCCTTCCAGCCAGTTTCTGTTCTGTTTACAGCTAGACTTCTCAAAAAGTCTGTAGTGCTTGTGGCCACAACCTCACTTTCCAGTTCCCCTTCCACTCACTGCTGTCTATCTGCCTCCTCCATCGTGCCACCAGCTGGCAGTGAAGAATGAGGTACACAGACCTCCATCCAGCAAGGCATCCTCAGCCGCATGGAACAGCCCCAGCGCCCATCTTCCCCTGGCCTCCGGGACCACGCCTTGCCCATTGTTATCATGCCTTCAAAGCAGTTCCTTTTCCTCTGCCAGCTTCAGCACTTCTCCCTCGCCCGAATGCTTGAGTTCCTCAAGAGTCAGCCCTAAGCCCTCTTCTCTCACTCCCAGCCCCTCTGGAGTCGACCACATCCATCCCCCCAGCTTCAGTTCAGTTTCTGAGAATGTGATGCACCCATTTACATCACTAGGCTGATCCTAGTTACATCCGCCATGCAGACCCCAGGGCAGATACCTACTCAGCATCTCTACTTGAGCAGGATGGGCTCAGTATGGCTGCTCTGCGATTTTCCTTTGTCCTTTTTCTTTCTTCGGGTTCTTGGTTAGCAGTTGTAGGGTTGGGCGCTATTGAACATCCTGAGTTGAATATAAACACGCCTCTGATGAGGAAAACTGCAATGATTTGGTTGCTTCATGTCAGCACCTCCCCTTGGAGAACAGCAGCTTATTGTCCTGGGCGCTGGCTCCTGCCCTGCAAACGGCTAGGCCACGCTGGCCCGAGTGGCCTTTGATCTGCTCCCTGCCCCTGCCATCTCAGGGCTTTACTTTAGGGTTATCCTGTCTCCTCTTAACGACTGACCTCAGTTCTTCCACTTTGGCCACAGCATCACTGACCCTACTGATCCCATCTTTCTGTTTTGCAGATTGCCTTTTTTTTTTTTTTAAGATTTTATATGTTTATTTGACAGAGAGAGAGAGAGAGCACAAGCAGGGAGAGTGGCAGGCAGAGGGAGAGGGAGAAGCAGGCTCCCTACTGAGCAAGGAGCCTGACACGGGGCTCGATCCCAGGACGCTGGGATCATGACCTGAGCCGAAGGCAGATGCCCAACTGACTGAGCCACCCAGGCGCCCCAGCGGATTGTCTTGCTTACACCCACTATTTGCCCCATTGGCCACAACATGCCCAGATCCTATCATCATGTTTTGGACTGTTCTTACTCCGGAGTCTCAGAGATACATCTGGTGTCCTTTTTCCCTTCTGATCTTTTAGCAGACAGGGAGAAATATTTCTCCTTCTCCAGTGAAAATGGTTCACGTTGACAGGGCTTATGGATTCTAAGCAATGAAGAAAGGAGTCAACACAGTTTGAGCTGAAAAACTGGGAGCAAATCGGAGCTTGTGATATTGGGATTTCTAATAAGAAATATATATTTGGTCTTTGTCCTTGTTTCTGGCACAGAGCCCCTAAAATCCTTGAATTTCCTAGGTGAAGAGGACCAGAAAGTGTTTTTGTCATGTTAATGAAGCAACCTAAGGATGAGGGCCATTGCTAAGAGGACCAATCCTGTGTTTAGAGAGTTAGAATTTTCAGTCCCACCCCAGACCTCCAGGGAAGGAAGAGGGGCTAGAGATTGAGTTCAGTCTCAAATGGCTGATGATTTAATTAATCATTCCTATGTAGTGAAGCCTCCATAAAAAAACCAAAAGGATGGGGTTCGGAGAGCTTCTGGCTTGGAAAACCCATGGAAACTTGGGGAAAATGGCACCCTCAGAGACATGGAAGCTCCCCGCCATTTCCCCATACCTTGGCACATGCATCACTTCCATCTGGCCCTTCCTGTGTTTTGTCCTTTTATAATAAACCAGTAATGTAGTAAGTGAAATGTTTCTCTTCTAGCAAATTAACTGAACCCAAGGAGGGGGTTCATTAGAACCTTCAACCTATATAGCTGGTCGGTCAGAAGCCCAGGCGACACCTTGGATTTGGGATTGGGGTCTGAAGATGGGGTGCAGTCCTGTAGGACTGAGCCGTTAACCTGTGGGATCTGATGCTATCTCCTAGTCGATGGTGTCAGAATTGAATTAAATGGTAGGATAGCCAGCTGGTGTCAGAGAATTGCTTCATGTGGGGAAGGCTTCCCCAACCACACATGTTGGAATTGGGTACAGAATTGTTAGTGCTATTGAAATAGAACAGCTTTTCCGTGGGGGCCAGGGGGAGAGACTAATGTTTCATTATCTTTACAATTGGAGGCTGCAGTAGTGTGAATAATCCACAAAAATGGTAAAGTATTGAACATCCAGGTTGGGTTAATGAGATTTGAGGGTGAGCCTCCTTTCAGTATCCCTAACTATAGGATGATTAAAAAAAAAAGTTTAATCTACCGTGTCATAAATGTATGTGAGCATAATGAGATGTTGCTAAAGTGCTTTGTGAACATCAAGTCTCTCACAATTATAAATTATTATTTAAGGGTATTGAAACAGTATTTCAAGGAAATAGCTTTCCCTTCTATATTTATTATTTTTTAAATTGAAGTTTAGTTGACATACAATACTATATTAATTTCAGGTGCACAATTTTTGACCATTATATACATTACAAAATGCTCACAGTAAGTATAGTTACCATCTGTCACCAAGCAAAGTTGTTAAAATATTATTGACAGTATTCCCTACGCTGTACTTTTCATCCCTGTGACTTATTTATTTTGTAACTGGAAGTTTGTACCTCTTAATCCCCTTCACCTATTTAACCCATCCCCCACACCCCCCCCCTCTGGTAATCATCAGTTTGTTCTCTGTACATATTCATGAGTCTATTTTTGGTTTTTCTTTATCTGTTTTTGTTTTTTAAGTTCCACATATAAGTGAAATCATATGGTATTTGCCTTTCTCTATCTGACTTATTTCACTTAGTATAATACACTCGAGGTCCATCTACCCTCTCACAAACGATGAGATTTCATTCTTTTTCTTATTGCTTTGTAATATTACCTTATATATATTATATCCCATCTTCTTTATCCATTCATTTATTAAGGGACACTTAGGTTGCTTTCATATCTTGGCTATTATAAATAATGCTGCAATAAAGATAAGGGTGCATATATCTTTTTGAATTACTGTTTTTTTTTTTTTTCTTCAGGTAAGTACCCAGCAGTAGTGGAATTATTGGATGCTATGGTAGTTCTATTTTTAATTTTTTGAGGAACCCCTGTACTGTTTTCCACAGTGGCTGTACCAATTTACATTTCCACCAATAGTGCATGAGGCTTCTCTTTTCTCACATCCTTGCCAACACTTATTTCTTATCTTTTTGATTTTAGCCATTCTGACAGGTGTCAGGTAATATCTCATAGTGGTTTTGATTTGCATTTTCCTGATGAGGAGTGATGTCAAGCATCTTTTCATGTGTCTGTTGGCCATTTGTATGTCTTCTCTGGAAAAATGCCTATTCAGGTCCTCTGCACATTTTTTAATTGGATTATTTGGGGTGGGTTTTTTGTTTTTTGTTTTTTTTTTGGTGATGAGTTGTATAAGTTCTTCATATATTTTAGATATTAATCCCTATTAGATATATGATCTGCAAATATTTGTCCCATTCAGTAGGTTGCCTTTTGTTTTTGTTGATTGTTTTCTTTGCTCTGCAAAAGCTTTTTAGTTTGATATAGTCCCAAGAGTTTATTTTTGCTTTTGTTTCCCTTGTCCTTTGTCTATTTTTATTGCAAGAATACAGCATTTTAGCCAGTTGTAACTAGATTAAATTGGCATTCTGGTTCAGGTTAAAAAATTAGCTACTCATTCTGTGTTTCTGTAGGGAAATGTATCCTAATTTTATCTCCTCCAAGGAAGTCTTTTGAGCTATCAAGGGAGGATTTTTAAGTATGAGTGACTTGCATGCAGATAAATGAGAACTGACTAATTTATAATTATAGGAATCTCCAGGGAAAAAAGAAACTAACGGAAATTTATCTGCAGATTCTCAGTCTATACATATTTATTTTTAACTTTGGAATTTTCCTTCTGCAGAAACCCTGGGTGGTGTGGATACCATTGTCAAGATCCCTCCACACTTGCTAAGGTAAGGAGACTGGAGTTGTAAAATATAGTGGGAGTAAAAATCACCCCCTGTGTTTTCCTGAAGGCCCAGATAACCTCATTGGCATATAGCATTTTACTTGTTGACCGAACGCTCTTTTTAAATCCATGAACTGGGATAGTTCATGAGGTTAGCATGATGGGAACCTGACTGCAATGATTTCTAGGCATCCGTGGAATGAGTGAAGTCAGTTATCCAAAGAAAGCAGCTGAAGAATAAGGTGAAAGTATAAAATTGGTCAAGGAGAGAAATGACCAAAACCTAAGAGAGTGTAGACAGATGACAAGATCTTCTACTGCAGACTAGGAAATGGCGCCCCTGCTGGGAAGAAGCAGTCCTACACCCTGTGGGGTGGATTTAAACTCCCACTGGTCCCTTGGCTAGACACCATCTCTCACAAACTCTATAGCCATATACAACAGCCTGGAGATAGTGAGCCTGTTTCCCCTTCACCATTCCCCATCCCCCTTTATCATGAGAGAAATGCCCTGTGTGGGACATTTGGAAAGAACAAATAAGAAAGTTGTCCATAATTACACCACCTAAGGATAACCACTGAAAACCGTTTAACAGATTTTCTTAACAGACTTTTTCCTACATATACACATTTTTACAAATTAATGTGAATTTTATTTATGTTTGTTTCCTGCTTATTGTTTCAGGCCACATCATAAGAAGAACATTTTCTAATGTCAATATATGTTCTTCGAATTAAAATATTATATATTCTTCCATTATATGGCTGCTGTAATGTTTATTTAGTAACTTTTATTATTAAACACTTGGATGATTTCCACATTTTTTTGACATTATTAAAAATGTTGAACTTACAGTCTTTTGTTGAAGAAAGTTCTGTACTGTCAGGATATTATGATTTATTAGGTGTTTTTCATTTCTACAAGTAGAATGAACAAGAATTATGATCCTGAGTTTTTAAAAAATTTATTGCCTCTCCTATAGTATCTGCTGCAAGCTGATATACTGTAAGGAAATTCATGTATTAATCAAACCGAATGTACTTTTATGTGTATAAAGCTAAATGGACAGAATGCCTGGCAATAACACTCTTGCCTGGGGGGAGGGCAGTATCCCAGCTAGAGTATCCATGCTCACAGGAGAACATGAAGACTCTCCAAGACATATGAAGGTATAGATGGTTTAAGGGAGATGATTTTATGGTCCCCATTGTCTATAGGTACTCTTTCTGAAAACTGATTTTGCTACATCTCTTTTTCTATCTTACCTATTATAGTCCCTCTTCTTCTTAAACAAGGAAAGCACCACTATTACCCATCCCATTCTGAATCTTACTGTGTGTGGTATGTTGTCCTGGGGTGCAAAAGTCTTGTCCCACCAACAAAGGACTATGAAAATGCTAGTGTCTGTGTTGGTAAAGGGGACGAATATAATGATCAGACCACACATCTTTTTGTAAATTAGTTTTTACTTCTTGGCTTTCAACAAAATTGAAGGAGGACCTAATCTAATTATAAGATAATAGACAAAAAGATGTTTTGATGATAAGTCTCCTTCATTCTCTTGTTTATATAAATAAGGGTTCTTACTGCTTACATCTAGGAAAGTGAAAAGGTATGGAAATGATGTTAAATTCCCACCTTATTATAACAATAAGGAATACTTCATCCATGGGTATATGAAGTAATTGAGGAGAAAAATAAACAAGGCTTATTTGTTTCTTTAGAAATGCATTTCTAAAGAAACAGATAAAAATAAAATAAGAAAATAAAATTATACTTTCCATGTTAACTACATTAACATTCTTTTAAATATTCATTAATGCTGTTTGGATCAGTTGGTTCCATTAGTAGTCACACTTCAAACCAGAAGAAAATTGAACACTTTTAAGCCTTATGGCCACATGAAATTTTTTAAAAATCACTTTATACACCTTTTGTTACACAGGAATAGAGTAGGGAGATTAATGAAAGCCTCTCAAGAGTTAAAACATTATATTGAGAGAAAATTAATTTGGGGAAGTAGAATGGAAATATAAGTTCGAGGAGAAAAGAGAACAATGTAGCATTTTTTACTGTTAAAGAAGAGTTTGCTCATACATTTTTTTGTTGGGTGAAGGTGATTTTCAAATTGGTGTGGAATTTAGATTTCATTAGATACATTTAAATAACTGATATGTTTTAATTAGAAATTGTAGTATTTCCAATATGCCAGAGTCATAACCTTTTCCATTAATTAAAATCATGATGAAGAAATGTAAATGTCAATTTAAAATACGTGAAAAACAGAACTTTAACGTTTTCTTAGTGGCTGTTTGAACAAAAAAACGTTTAGTAACGGTGCCTTAAAGCCTAGTTCCTAATCCAGAAGGTTGTTGAACCTGACGGCTGGGCTTCTTGTGGTTCTGGGTCTGTGATGAAAGTTCTGCCTATAGTGTTAGGGGTGAGAAGCTGGCAATGATACTGGAGGAACCTCCTGGTTAAGAACGTTCATCAAAAGACAACTGGCATTTTCCAACTCTTGGTGTGTGTGTTGAGGGGGGTGGACAGATGAGTTAGAGAATGCAGTGTTAATGGGGCCTAAACATGGCTGGTCCCCATTTAGCCATGCCATTTAGCTTTCCTTTCACCCATGGCCTTGAGATTTCCCCAGAGCCAGCTTGCCATCTTGTACCACCTATAGAAGAGGGGTCACCAAACTGGTGGGAAGGATGCTGGATCAGGAGCTGTGGATGGATATATATCGGTGTCATTTCATGTCTTCACCCCTGTTAGCAGATAATTTGGAGTGTTTATCCTAATGAGAAAGAGCTGGTGAGGTCATCTTGTATATGTGTATTGTGTTCTGGTGTGCAGTGAGGTCTATCAAACATCTTTGTAGAGAGAATTAAACTGTATGAATGAGATAAAGCAGATGGGAGCATTGCTCTCAAAGGTTTTATATTCAGAGGGAGGAGAATAAAGACATGCATAGCTGGAAAACAGTGTTTTGTGGTAGCCACTGTAAATTTATGGTAGAATTTTATACATTTAAGGAGGTTTCAGTTTGACCATGATTCACAATAGTTGGGAGGCTTTTCATGCCTCTTTTAGGGAATGGGAATAAGCCATAATTAGAACAAAAAGAGCTCTTGAATCAATATTTATCTGAGTTATTTTTTCTCTTTATTGTAAAAGAAGTGATATAATGAGTTATACTGTAATGGGCTTTTCTCTCTGTTTTGAAGTCAGTCTTCCTCTAATTCTTTGATTCTGCTGCTAGGAACTTTTAAACCCAGAGAGTACTTAACTCTGTCCAGTTACTGTGTTTACCAGGGCATCTTTCTATTGTTTGAGTACCTGCTCAAAAAAAAAAACAACAAAAAATCTAGTCATTGTAAATATCTGTACCCAAGAAAGAGTTTGGATATGTTAATTATTTTTCTTCAATTATATTTTAATTATTTTTCTTCAATTACACTTCTATGTACTACATGAGACAGAAACCAGATTCATTAACTATGTCTTGCATTCTCCTGATTTTGTACTCAGATTCAGTTTCCATTTCTGATAATCGCTTAGAAGTGATTATTTACAGATTTTTTGTTGTTTCAGAAAGGGCAATAGGGAATAATTCAAATCTCAAATACTTTTGCTGTGCTGTTTTTCTTAATTTTTCTTTTGCCCCTGACTGATTGCCTTTTACGTTAAATATATTAACATTCTGATAAATACATTGTTTTGCTCAATTGTGTACACTAATAATGATAACTCAGATCAGAAAAAAACTGAAATCTTGAGAGACCTGTGGTTGCATTATCTTCTGCTTTTCTTTTACCACTGATTGCTCCGTGGACTTCTTGTACGAACTGAAGTAGACCAGATATCACATGAAAGATTTTCGTCATTGTAGTGACTGGGCTGAGCCATGCGTAGGGCATTGCAGGGGAGAACCCCACGGTAAAACATTTGAGGTGAAGATAAGGAGTGGTCGGAGGCATTGCCTGTTCTACCCCAGGCTTTCAGCAAGCAAAGGTCCACTCTCATGGTTGGTAAGTGAGCCTCTGTAGCACCAGGGTAGGGATTCATGCAGAATGCCGGTGAGATTCCATGTCAGCGATGGAGGAAGGTCCAGGGATCCTGTCCTGTGAAATATTTCTGAATTTGTTAGTAGAGAGTTACATGAAAGTCATTCTACCTTCTTGCCCTAAGTCTTGCTCTTGAGCTTGGCAGTGAGTTTAAGAGTCCTTACCTTCCACCATGAGGAGCCTGTCCCCTCACAGCCTTTGCTCCTCTTTTCCTTCTTAAACTTCAGGCCTTCCATGTCTTCCCAGGGTTGAAAACCCGTGAATGAGTGGGCCATCGCAGTATCCCTAGACTCAAGAAGGAGGTCATCGATAGCTCAGGCTCTTCCTTTGATTGGGGTTATCATTTCCATATCCTACTTGTTTCACAAGCAGAAGGCAACTGAGGGTGCTCCCTAATTGTGACAGACTTGGTGAAACATCTCTGACCAAGTCAGGTGAGCACGAATAGTCATTGACTTCATCTGTTGTTAGCCACGGGTTTTTCAACCAAGTGATAAATAAGACCAGGAAGCTACTGGTCAAGAAGTATTAGTAGTTAATGACCTGAAATGTTTTCTGTTCTCGGACATTTTTCTACTTTATCCTCTCACCCCCTCTACCTCCCTGCTTTTTCCCTGTGGTTTGGGAATCAAATGATAGAACCAAAATAACCTGGTCATTTCTGGAATCTTCAGGGCTGTGGTCGTTTTTGTTATGAATACTCAGGGCTGATGTCTGTGTTTTGTGAAGCTGTCACCAGCCTTGCTTGGCAAGGAGCAGCTGGCTTAAGCCCACCTGGACTTAACCACAACTTCTGGAATATTTAGCTTCTTGCAAATTGATTCATCGGCCATCCCCCTCCATGCCCCACTGTCCTTGTGATGGCTTGGTTATGATGATACCTGGTTCTGTCTGATCATCTTTCTCTCAGAAATGTTGAAGGGTTTATATTATATCCAAC